ATGATGGAAATAAGAAATAAGAATCTTTTGTTATGGGCAGCAATTGTTAGACTGTGAATCTTATTAAGTAGCAGATTTTGGGACTGTAATTCTTAGTTTTTGTAAGTGACTGGCTGTTCATCCACTTGGAGATTTTTTTAATTTTTTTTTTTAAGTGATCCATGAATCACTGTTGTATGTTCCCTACATGCTTTCTTATTGTTGAGCTGCTTAGAAGCATATTCTTTCTCAAATAATACAAGCAATGCTTTAGCTAAATTTAATATTAAGAGAGATTCAAGTGATGAACATTCTTAACAGGTGTTTACAGAATGTGCCCTGGGCCTGAAGTTGGGTCCATTGCTGTAATAACTTTGCTGTTCAGATTACTACAGTTAATCAAGTCCCTGGTTGTATAGGATGAGAAGACTAGTTTTTGTAGGATTATGTTCTCATTAAGACAAAATCAGGACATTATTTGGGAAAATAAGTTAGAGGCAAAAATTGCTAAAGGTAATGCATCTGATATCTTTTCTATCAAACTGATATGCTCACTTTTAAGACAGAATTGGCATAAGATGTGACAGGAGTTGATAGTAAATGAACTGAAACCAATTTTCTGAAAGCAAGTGAGTTTTCAAAGCAGTTGAGAAGTATGAAGTGAGATAATTTGAGCATCAGTTTAGCAGAGAAGCTTAGCACACTGCAAGCTTGCAAATCATTCCCATCACACTTACCAAGTTAACTGTAGTACCTGGCTTCTTCAAGACCATGTCATGTCCCTTGCCACCTCCATCTTACTCTCCCACTCTCAGATCATGGCTTGAGGATCTGTCCTGCTTCTGAGTATTCAGATGCAATTGAGAGTGATGGTTCTATAAAGGGACCGAACAGCCTCTCTAACACAAAGTATTAGTAGTGTAGAACTAAATAGTTTAAGTGAAAATAGATCTTCAGAACAATAAATCAATCTATACACATGCCTACCTTTGCCTAAGGGTCATAATTCTCAGGAACTGGGGAACACTCACTTTTCTCAGACTCTTTTTCCACATCCCAGGTGGCAGCCTATCTTTCCATACAGGGCCTGACAACTGAATCCCCACTCCTTTCCTAGGAGTGGGGATTTAACTTTTTTTTAACTCTTTTGTGCTCTAGGAGCTCTTTGAGCTCTGCATTGGCACAGTGTCATTTTGACCTAGAGCCTGGAAGTACATCATTGTATGCAATTGTTCCTCCTTTTATGATTGTTGGGAGACTTGCATTGTTTTCTCCAAATATCCTCTTGCCTCCTTCCATTATTGAATTAGAACCAATAATTTCTTCATAAAGCTGTAACATCTCACAACCGTTAACTCGGTCACTAGTGTTCATACAATTTTTGCACTTAGCTTTTTGTCTTAAATTATTATCTTGCACCTCCATGGTGAGCAGGGTGTCACCAAAGTCAGTGGGAAGTAGTGCCGGAAAAGCCTGAGCACGAAGAAGGTATGCATGAGTTTGCTTGCCACTGTGACAAGTATGACTTGTACCAGGCATGAGTTTACAGAAGCAACATGGTATCACCTAAGTCTCGTTAGTGTTATGGAAAGACAAAGAATTTTTCATGGCCAATAGAGAAAACCTAAGAAGCTGACAAAAAATTGCCAGTGGCAGTTATTTTCCAGCTGAACTAGGACTATTTTTCTTGTTTTAAAGGTAACCTTTTATCTGCTTTTCTAGATTATGCTGTTTAAATGGCGTGGATGCTCCTATCAAAACACATCCTTTTGCTCTTCTAGAAGGATTATATTATTTGAATTTTACATGTAATAAAATTCTTATTTAGCTGAATGATCAGTCTTCAGAAAATATACTTGCACACTGTAGAAATTGATAACCACTTTCACTAGTTTATGATTTAGGCCTGTGGAAGGCTAATGGTTGTCTTTTCCTCTATATTTCACCAGTCTCTGTTTTTTTTTTTTTTTTTTTAGATACACCTGTAGATTAAGACAGCTCTCTTTGCTTCCAGAATTAACATGGTCACAAACTAAGCCTGCTCACAATGAGCCTTTGGTGTCCTATCATTATATTTCTAAGGACATTTCTTGCTGAAGAAGCATATGTATAGGTATTGACTTCACTGAGGTTCTATCGAACCAGTTGAATCTTCCTGCACAAAGAGCAGAATGGGAGCCAAGAGACAGTGAGCTGTCCCAAACCCACACAGTGAGTCAGTGATATGGTTGGAACTGGAACTGAGTGCCTGCTAGCTCTCAGCTTTAGGTGCATTAGAGAGTAATGCTTCCCATCTTCTGCATTCCCCTTGGAATGAAGAAATAGCCTCAAACTCCAAGGAATTTTATAAAAGTTCCCAAAATCTTGAGGTCCACAACCATACTAGTGAGACAAGCACCGCTTACATAGTCCTAGAAAAATGGGTAGCACAAGCTTAAGGTTGCCATTTATCAGTCTGGAGATTGTGGATCATTTCTTGAAATGCAGTCTAAGGGACACAGAAGTTCTGACTTCCTCCCTCACAGAGCGGCATGTTATTAGCATTTTGCTGTTTCAACCAGAGACAGCCTTTCTCCAAATAGCTGTTTCTCTAATACAAGCAGAATATGTAGAGATGTTACATTGACAGTGACACTTCATGGGACCTGCTCTTTAAAAAAGAACTGCACTATCAAGGGTTCCATTCTGTGTGAGGATTTTTGTTTTGAATTGATATGAGACCCACAGAGACCTGTGTTGTCTCATGACCTGGTATGTTAGCAAGCAGTGGCTAATCTATCCTGGAAGGAGGATATTTAGGTGGGACAAACACTGGAACTGAAGATTCCCTGGTATTTCCTGAGAGTAACATCTGGATCTGTGTGAACTGGTTTGATAAATATTTTTGTATGTTACATATGCTGTCATTTGCATGTTGAGTAGTCTGAATATCTGCATATATTACACTGCTTCTATAAAACAGTCATTTTGATAAGCTCAATAGTACTTATACAGTCCCTGGGATTTGATACTAACTTACTCCCAAGAAAGATTTCATTTTGTTCTTTAAATAATGTTTACCATTGAAGGGAGCCAGCTGTATTTGAATTTGAAAAAAAGGAAATTATATGATAGACATGCTATTTTATATCTGACTTTGTAAGATTGTCTTTTGATAGGTTGGAGTATGTCTGAATATTTGGAAAAGGTCATGGAAAGATCAATGTCACAGATACTTTTCCTCCTTTGGATATAAGTAGACACAAAGCAGAAGAAAAAGTGTTTTAGGAGAAGGAAAATGTCTTTGAATTTTTCTTCATCATTTCTTCTTCATTCTTCATAATTCCCATAACCTTCTATTTGAAGCTGTCACCACATCTTGGCTGTCACTTCTACCAAATCTATTTAAATATATTTTAAAAGTGAATTACTTGGCTGTATGTAACTTTTGTTCTAGTTTATGCTCCAGCAGTCTATCTGATTTGCAGTCAGATAGAAATTGCTACAGCTTCAGTTTTCAAAACTTTTTTTTTTGCCCCCGACCTGTGCACATAAAGGTCTCCCTACGCTGATAACATATAAGGCTATCAAATGAAGAGGGCAGCTTGTTGGAAGTGCTTAAAAAGAACTGACATTTAAATTAATTTTTTTAAGTATAAATTTGAAACTTGTGAAAAGAACAAGGTGTGTCTGGTGAAGTTGAATAAAGGAGAGATGAATGCGAAGTTGGTTTTTTAATGTGCTTAGCAGACACAGTTGGAGTTTTATTTTCAAAATCTGGCCCTTACCACACACAGAAAAATATTAAAAATAATAGTAACACAAAATCTGATTTTCACATTGCCCTGTGCAGCCTCAGTGAAATAGCAGACATATAACTGGTCTGGAGATGAACCACAAGGAACCAGCCAAGGGATATATCATTTCTTCAATATCATTTAACTGTTATTTGGTTTTTTTACTGTTGGATAATGATGAAAAGGCAGAGTACGCACCATCTAAAGTCTATATTTTTGGGAAGAGCAAGCCAATATAGAATTTATTTATAAATAAATAAATACAGATCTCACATGATTTAATGTTGTCTTATAGAAAATGTTTATGTAAGTCTTAGGAGCTCAGAGTCTATAACTTAAATCTGTACTATCTGTGTTTCAGTAACCACGTGTGTTTACGAGGTTGATCTACAAAATGAGTAAAAGTGGTAAAAAAAACATTTTACGGTGTGACATTCACCCCATCAGATTATTCTGGCAGGCTTTCAGTCTGAGTACAGTCCTCTGCCTTTCACAGTTTGTTTCCTATCTGCATGGCAAAAAAAAGGACATCTCACTCATCAAAAATGTGGTGGCATTTCACAAGATCCTAATCTGGTAGTGTTTGCCAAGTTGGGAAGTACTAAGAAGTGGACCCTTACTTCTGTAACCTGCTCCTCAGCTTTGGAAGGAAAGACATGTGTGCAGTGACACATACCATGTTTAAACAATGTGTTCCATGGCAATTTTCCATTTTTTGTTTTAAGTTAGAGTGGAAGCTGAAAATTTAGGTAAAGCTATTTCACCATTTTAAATCCAAACAAAAATGGGTGGAAGGAAAGATAGCTTGGTGAGAAACTTTGTTTAAAGTGTAGTTGAAGTACTGAGTTTGGGAATGAATGAAGAATTATTTTAAACAGTGATAAAAAGGAGTTTTTCTTAGCAATGTTTGCATGAATGCTCTGAAATGTAAACTTCGTGTGACCCAGTGTGTTTAAAACCCTCATACATTTAAATCTTCAACTGCAGTTAAGTACTGATTGCTTTTGTAACTAGAATTGATTATGCATTTGATTACGCCTGTCCTTGAAAGTGCCAGATATGGCCACAACAGCCCTAGAGTGCAAGTACTATTTTGTGGAGTGTGCTAATGAATGTATGGAGAATACAGTTGTCCAGTTACGACCTCAGGCCTAAATTTGCAAGTTATATAATGCATTGTCTTTGAAAATGTTGGTGGTCTACAGGAATATTTATAAAATTTTATATTTTTTTTTTCCTCTTCAGAGTTAAAGAAGCAGAGGAAGTCTGCAGGCAGAAAAAGGGGAAGTCACTATACAATATAAGACCAAAACATGACTCTGGAATTGTAAGTAAAAATCGTAGCAATGCTTCTGTTCCCATTACTTTTCCTGCTTTTTGCTCTTTGCATTTATATATATATATATATATAAATATATAAAACAAATATTTTGATAGGTACACATTTTTCAAGCAGGACTACTGTATCAAATACTAATGGCTTCTGTTCCACTGATAGGGATTTGTTTGGATAGAAACCCTAGAAAAAGATAATACTGTGCTTTCACCATTCTTTTGAAAACAAATAACTTCAGTGATACTAGACAATTCTGGTCATTCAATGAAACTTTCCCCTGTGAGTGCCCAAGTATTGAGAAGATCATGACTGATTTTACTGGAAAGTAATATTTCTCCAGTGAAAAATTAATCTTGCACCTCACATTTAAATTATACCTGTAGCAACTGGCCACCATTTGTATTTATAAAATATTAGAAGATTTTTTCATGTGTCTGTGTCTCTGTCCACACCCCTCCTTCCCCCCATGAGACCTGACTTAATTCTTTTGTGCTTCGTAGTCATGGCTATATTACTGTGACACATCTTGGAAATTAGGCATGTGGTAATTTACTGCATTCTAACTAATATAATCTTGACACAGGAAGAAATAATATTGCCTTTATTTTTTCTTATTTGGAATGTTTAATGAAAGTTGGCTGTGGTTAGGGCCACAAGAAGTGTAAATGGAGTACTAGCTTGATAAGGAATGATAAATTATGTTTAATTAATTTGATTTGAAAACAGATCAAGATGTAATTTAAAAAACAACAACATTGTTTTGAATTTCTCCATCTAACTTTTATCTTGCAGTGCCTAAAGACACTGAGAGATTTCTTTTCTTTTAAGAAATAACTATTTGCTTAATTATTCCTGTATCATTATTATTTGCACTGAAACAGGGACTTTCAGTATTACTAAAAATCTGATGAGGGAAAGGGAAAGTAAACAAAAATATTTCACAAGAAGTGTATAGCTGTAGTCTGCTTCAGTTCCTTCTTCAAAGGAAGTTTATTTGTGAAGCAGGTCTACAGTAAGTGTAATTGAACATTAGGCTATATATTTCTATGCTTTACATAGTGTAAGTATGTGTGAGGTGATTTTATGTACACTCAATTTCTCCTTTTTTTTTCAATTTATTTTATTTTTCAGAAAGCAAAGATAAGTATGAAAATCTGAGAGAAGAAAAGCAAAAGCCATTGTTACCTGGTTACCAAAACTCAACATGCCTGTGGGTGGGGAGTGAGAGGGAAGGAAACTACATCATCCTGATCATTTGCTTTCTTGACCTTTTTAAATTTGCTTTTTGTTCTCTAGACTTTTCCACCAATTGATGTGTTATTGTACATTCATTCACGAATGTAATCACTTTAATGGAGTGCCCAGCAATAGACTAGGTATGGACTTGAAACACCTTCCCTGTACTCTGTATCTCCTTTGCCACTCAAAAATGATATTTTGTAAAGTGTATGGTATATTACAAATAGGCCAAGTCAGCATGCATAAAAAGCAGCATCTGCATCAGTTCTGAACATGCTGAAAATTGCATTAAGTTGAACTTCATAAGAATGCTACTTGGTACAGTAAAACATTTCCATTCCTACTGGCAACATCTAACACAAATACTTCATGGCACTGCACTTAGATTAGGGAAAGAAATGTTACTCCTAGTGAACTGTTTGTATCTGTTTCATGTTGGCATTTGTAGTTTGTATTTTGAATCGTTAAGTGCTGTTTATACAGTATAATCAATGCTTTCCCAACTTGTTTGGTTGCCCTCCATGACTAAATATTTGTGGAACAAGATGTTTACTGTAACTATCTTTAAAATCGATAAGGCAGCATACTTTTACTTCATCTTTTGCCAGATAGTGAATGCCAGGTGGTATGGGGGTCAGAAATCCAGCATTTAAAAAAAAAAAAAAAAAAAAAAAAAAAAAAAAAAAAAAAAAAAAAAAAAAAAAAAAAAAAAAAAAAAAAAAAAAAAAAAAAAAAAAAGGTGAAAAGCAGGAAAATACAGAAAAGCACAGAAGTATGATAGAGAGTATGAGAGATTTGGCTATTATAGTTTGTTAATATATAAAGCAGCTAATACTTTTACATGAGCTTTAGAAGGTATAGTATAGTTTTAACTACTGATCACTTAAGTCAGATAGCCTTTTGGCCACGTGTACATGACTTCCCTTCTGGAATTAGCTTTACAGTTAATTTAAAACTCTTTTAGAGAGCCATTAAAAGATGCACATGGGGACAACATTTATGGAAAACAGTAGCCAATTCTAGTGACTGAACACAGACTATCAACTAATTGACATCAATTTCACACTTAACAGAATTGCAGACATTTCCTCCAGACTTTGTGTCCCTGACTAGGAGGTTAATGATTGAAATCTACAACTTAGGGCTTCCATTTTAGACCACGTGCTTAGTTTCTATTTGCAGTCCAGAATTCACTCTACCAGTTTTGATCTGCTCAACTGATAACAACCCCTTTCTCCAGTCCTAATTTAAGAGCCCCAAACCAATCAGTCTGACTGATAAAGTTTTTCTTCCAAAGCGCATTTTTCCTAAAAGCAGACTCTGTGTGCAACTCAATTGGATGCACATGCTCACAGCTTTGGAGCCTGAAAGACACTGGGGTAAGGCAAATGAGCTCTAACCTGCTGGGTTGCGTTATTCCCTGTCTAATCTAGCATGTTAAGAGACGTTCCTAGCTGTTCAGAGGCTAGTATATCCTACAGGGTCTCATAAAAGGAAGTGCGAAATACGACCTCAGGAATCTGTTATTCTTCACATATACCAAGCACTAGAAAAGATGGTTTTTTTCACTGTGTGAAAAGCAAGTCTCCTGTTGCTGACAAACCTATGTGAAATTCTGTACTACTAATAATTTCTGGCAGGGATATTAATTACCAAGAATGGAGTTCTAAAAGTTTGTTTTGATGGGAGTAACATTACTATTTGGGGAAAAGAAAATAAGAGATTATTTGCTGTTATGACTAACTTATGGAAAAAGAAACGTTAAAAAAAATAAAGCTATTTTAATGGCACTGATTCAAATTCATGTTTGTATTTATGTAAACAATAGTCTATTTCCTCCTAACTTTGCTCCTAAGTGCAAGGATACAGTAGCATGTTTTCATTTGTAGCCTTCCTGTTCTCTTCAGTACCTACAGTATGTATATTACTATACTAAATTAAATAACAGATCATCTAACAAAGATCACTATGTGCAATACTGTATTTAGTGTTTCTATTCCAATTTTTTTAGAATGTTAATTTATATGAAAATAAAAGGAATAATAATGAAATAATTGCCTTCTCTCTTCACTCTCCAGCTATGCTGTAGTTTGCCACAAACCATTTGTTCCCCAAGTCCCATTCAGGCTCCTGTGACCAAGGAAACACCTCTGTGAAAGGATCAGAGGAAATGGGGCTTCTATTTCCTTGCCTTTTGGAAGGATAGAGACAGTAATAGTCAGTTATGTGGATATATTACCTTTTCCCCAGGTGGTGGTAGTGAGAGCTTCAGTCCTCTACTATGCATCACTCACTTTTCTGCCTTGTGCATGCCTTCCAGTAGTGCATTTGGCTCACGTTTGTAACCTGTTCCTACTAACGCTGCCGAAGTAACAGTCTCAATAAATTTTTATTAGGGAAAAAATATGCATTGAAAAGTTATATCCACATATTATAATGCCTTTTTATATATGTGCGTTATCCAGCAATCCGGTAGGATGGTCACATACATACATACACTTTTCACTGGATCTCCAGCATGGATGTTAGAAGATATCTGCAAGCCTCAATCTCTGAAGAACAGTGTCAAAGGCTGACTGTAGTTCATAGGACCATGAACTAAAAAACACGTGCTGCTACATAGATTTTTCTCTTTCATTTTACTGAGGCCCAACCTATTTGATTGAACTTGTCTATCTCTTATATAGCTTCTCTCCAGCCTATTCAAGCTTCCATGCAAAATAGCCCACTATGTTCAGCACCACAGTTGACCCACAGACCATCCAGTGCAGACTCCCAGCGTTAAGTTTCACTTCCACTCTTTGTTTTTCAGTGGCACACTCAACTTTTTACAGAATTCTGAACTAATGTTCTTTTGTTTGCTTGTTTGGGTGTGTTTTTTAAAGAGGTCAAACACCCCATGTTTACTGCAGTCCTCCCATTTACTGCAACATCAACCACGCTACAGTTTGAGTTGGCTGTAATCCTACAGGAGTTCTCACAGACAAAATTCTGAGTTTTTGTGGACCACCAACACCGCATATCGCTCACTATTACTTAAACAAATGCAGCAGCAAAAGAGGGACTTTTCATACCTGAGCAGCAGGTGTGACTTGTTGACAATAACAATCTGGTTTTTTATGAGGAGCTAAGAGGATTCATGTTGTTTTCCTTGCAAATTAAAGCCTTTCAGAAGCATGATACTTTGTCATATCATGACATGGTAGTGGTTAGCTTTTCGTAGCACCTTTCATCATCCCGAAGCACTTCCAAAACTTATTCAAGTATTATTCAAGTATTATTCAACAGTGGCAATTAGAGGCAACTTGCACAGACCAAGGTTTTTTCTTGTCCAGTTTTTCAGTGATCAGCTTAAGAAGCTGGAAGCAATTATTAATTTCATTGAGAGAAGATATAGCAAGTCTTTGCATTTTTTTTGCAGACTCTAGGTTAAAAGGAAAGCTGAGTTTGTGACAAATCTGTTGGTTACTTAAGTTACACCAATTTTAAACTGCTGTGGGAAGAATAAGTGAAAACTGATGAAGTTGAGTTTTTCCGAAGATGGTGCAAACAGGTCAGCACAGAGAGAAGAGAGAAAACCATGACCCACACCATTCAGGTCTGCCACCCACTAATGTGATTCTCATTATGGAACAGGTTTTCCAAGTCATTCTCTTGCTTATGATAGACCCATCTGTGCTGTACCTATGCCTGACACTCATCCAACCTACTTATAAAAGCATCTAATAGTAAGTCCATTGCCTAAAAAAAGTGATGTCTTTCTGAAGACAAGGGGTCCCTATTGAGTCAGCACTGTTTTCTCTGCTTCCCAACTGTAGCTCAAATTTAGGCTTTTAAAAACATCACTTGCCACTCACCCTAAATAAGGGCCCTGCCAGCATGGCAGTTCCATGGTGGTAGAGCTTAACATTTGCTGTCCTCCTCCTTCTCCTGTCCCGTAGCAGCACTTTAGAAAATAATGGACCTGTCTGACCTAAAGCTTTTTTCATCTACTCGGAGAGATTTGCCTTGCTCTTGAGATTGCTTCCACAAGGGGGAGATTTGTGGATGAGAGCATGTGCCTTTGGTAGGATGGTTCAACAGGCAGCAAGAGTTTTAGAGAACTGGAGCTAGAGTCTAGGCTGTGCCTCAAACAGTAGGAGTGCAGGTGGATGCTGGGTAGTGAAGCGACCTGCAAAGCAGGAGACTGGCCAAGAGACAGCTCGAAATGAGAGAGGGGCATTAGATGAGATGACTACTGAGCTCCTTTTAAGCCAATTGACAGAGGCACTTAAAAGTTCAGAGCAGGGCGCCCTTTCCATGCTTTGGTAGCTAACACAAAGCAAACCACTAATTTCTCAAAAGCAACAGCTACGAAAAAAAAAAAAAAAGGCTCCAAACACATTAATTCACTGAATTGTGAGAAGATTTGGGCAAGAGACGGTAAAGGGAAGAGAGCAAAGGGCTCCTGCAGGTGTTAGAAGTGCCATAAAGGACATAGCCCCCTCCCTTGCTAGTTATGGTATAGGTGCTCTTGCTTCTTTCAAGACCCATGACAGGCATCTCTTCTGGTCACAGGGAGTCTCATCCATCCATGTGACTACTCCCTTTCATCACAAAAATTTTGCTTTGAGAAGCAGCATTTTCTCTGGGTTGGAAAGGAAAAAAACCCAAACCCCAAAAATACCCGATCTTTGGAGTGACATACAGTGTACCTGTTCAAGAGCTAACAGCAACCATTAAAGCTCACCTATATCTTAAGATATACCTTTTTTTTTCCTTATGAGTAGTTTGGTGCCTGTTACATAAGGATCCAGATATATTTTAAGCAAAACCACTTAGGTCAGGGTAACAGTTATTTCTCTTACCACAAATGATGCTGGTGTTTCAGCCAGTGGTGGAGCTTTGCTTGTCTTGTCATTTAACCAAAAAAACCCAGAATTTGTGTATGCAGAATCAACTCCAGAATCTAAGATTAGTGCATTTTATGTTTCCCTCTTGTCTTTCAGGTACTTTTGAGGGGGGTGGGAGAAGTAGTTAGGTTTTCCCAAGCTATCAGGGTGAGCCATCATTCACCTGTATTTGGGAGGGTGAAATAGAAGATGGAGAATATACTGATTAGAGAGCAGTTGGAAACAAGCTGTTGAAGCAAAACACCTGGATACCATATAACCCTAAAGTAGCTTTATTATTTAATCTATAATTTAATAGTTGACCTATAAAATAATTACATTATACTTAAAGCATTTCTTCATTTTTTGTTTTCATTTATAAAACAAGAATTAAATACAGTTTTAACCATTACAAGCTCAACTCAGTTTTTACATAAACACAGCTCCTAGAAGGAGCTTTAAGCTGCAGCATATTCATATTGCAAACTGGTGAAAAACCCAGGCAGGGCATAGCTTAAAGGTAAAGATTCTTGCATGTTTTTCTTAACTGAATTTACTAGGGTGCTTTTCTCTCTCTAGTCAAAAATGTCTGACTTTGAGCTCATTCCTTTCAAGTGGAGACTGAGATCCCTGGAGTCTTAGTAGACTGTAGTGCCACCTTCCGCCTCTGCACCTCACCCACACCAGCTCTCTCAAGCCTAGATGAATGGTGCCCATCCAGGGGCTGGCAGGATGCCACAGCACAGCAGTTACGACCCCTAAAGCATTCCCTGCGTGAGGAGTCTCCCTGTGCACTTGTGACACTTGGAGAGATCACAGCAGAAAAGCAATGTCCGTTCACGTAACAGGGCTAACAGACCTGACCAACCTCATCCTGCCCATGCCAGTCCCTGTAAACCACTTGGTGAGCTCTTGGGGAGTTCAGTCCTGAAAGCCTCTTAGGGAGGCCTGTCACATAATGGAGACCTGTGGCTCTGAAGCCCTGGCTGGCGACAGTGCTGAACATATTAACCCCTTGAAGTGGCTGCATGCGAAGAAGCTGGCGGGGAGGGGCTCCCGCAGCAGGCTGGTTTCACTAGATGCAGATGCTGAACTGTGAGACATGCATCAGGGAGTCGGCGTGTCATTTTTAATTTGCAAGCTTCAGACAACTGAGAGCGCGTGGGCTTTGGTCTGGGGGAAGGGGCTGGTTTGAGACAGCATTTTAATGCAGCTGGGACTAATACATATCGGCACTGCAACAAATGGTATATACGGGACATAATAAACTCCGTCAACTAAATATCAACATAGTATAATTTAAAATGAACTGCACGCGCTCACCAACACTGATTGTGCAGCTCTCAAAAAATGAGTGAACCACCAATAATGTAGCAATTACAAACTACTCTATCCCTGCTCCCACAGCTGTGACCCATTCCAGCGGCACTGACTGATGGGTTTGTCCTTTAATACTAACACATTATCATGGTTTCCAATCATGGGAGAGACACCACTCCCAAAACCTGGTGACACTTACATAGCTTTTGTATTCAATTCAGCAATGACCAAACTTTGTCCTTTGTGCGACAGTGCTTTAAATACCTTAAGGGAAACATCACTCCCTTAAGTGTTCTCAGCTCCTTTCTCACTATCCTCCCACCTTCCCCAGTCTGTGCAGGCATAAATATAACGTCATAACTGGATGTCATTTCTGGAGTAAGAAACACACACACATATCTAATATACAAAAACCTACCGAAAGCCTAGTAAAACCATGTTCATTTTAAGTCAGGCAGCTGACCTAGCAACCAAGTCTCTTAACATATTTTAATCTCTGGCATACTCTGCCACAAGGAAAATATACATGGCTAGGTCTATAATACTTTAAACAGCTGTTTACTATAGCTAGGTTACAAAATAAACACTGCTGCAGAGGCCATGTGTTCGATATACTCCAACCACAACAGCATCAGAACCCACCCTCAGTCTGCTCTGTGGTCACTGTGGCTGACCCAGCGCCTCGCCCTCTTCTCCTTGCTTCTGATCTGCTGTTCAGACAACAAGCCCAGAACCATTTGTCATTGCACGATTGAAGTTGTCTTAAGAAGATGAGCTTCACTGGAGAGTCTCGCTTTTCGCACATTGCTTCTTGTTACTCTCCCTCACCCGTGTGCCCCAGTCCTGGGCAGCACCCC